GGGGGTTGCAAGCATAGGGGGGATGCTTGCCTTGGTTCCACTGTCTGATGGGGGGGTCTGCCCAGGTGAACTTTCCCTGTGAGTTTGCTGTCTTATTTCTGAGCTGTTCCATAGACTCCTGTAACTGCAGCTGTCTTTTCTGGAAAGAGCATTGGAGAGACTTTTTGGGGGAGTCTGTAACTGGGACGCCAGAAATGTAATCCACCCCCAACTTGAAGAGATTGTAAAAGAGCAGGTGGCAGGGTGAGGTTCCCTGTGCATTTGGTGTGTGTAACTTGCAGGGGGTCCATTCTATATACTTTTGAACCTGTGTCTGACATGTCCCCCCAAAAAACACTTCCCTGACTTGACCTTAGTCCTGTTGGGTTCACAGTGCCACAGTGGCACTAGTTCTGCTGGGCACATTGCACTGGTTCTGCTGGGCTTGCAAAAATGCCTCCAACCTTCAGTTTCTACTGCAGAGATTCTCTGGGACTTCGATTCTGTTCTGCATGGCTTCTGTTGTCCTTGCTTTTTTGCTGTTTTTCCCTCCATAGGAGCACCTTCTTTGGGGGGCTGTAACTTGGACCCCATAAATCCAATCCTCATCAAACTTGGAGGGCAAGTAGAGGAGAGTCATCTGGAGATCTCTTGCATGTTTGGCATCTTTAATTTGCACAGGATCCATTCTATACAATCCTGACCCTCATGAACCTGTGCTTGTCATTTCCCCAGAAAATGCTTTCCTGGGGACACCTTCTTTGGGGGAGCCATAACTCGAACCCCATAAATTCAATCCTCACCAACCTTGGCATGTAGGTAGAGGTGGGTTAGCCGGATATCCCTTGTGAGTTTGGTGTCTCTATCATGCTGAGGGGTGTTCTACCATGTCACAAACCTCACAAATGAAACTGGTTTATTTGTGATGTTTCATGGTTCATGAAGCTGGCATACCATGAACCATACCACATTTTCCCAGTTCATGCCCATCACTACTCAACACCAGTTCTCTAGGTGAAATCCATCTGGTTGTCCTCATGAATTACCCCTGCATTGACCCATGTGGATCTATAAGAACCAGATCATCACTGAGACAGTACCCTAAGACCACAATTGTACCTTTAAAGATTGACTACCTCTTTCAATAGTCTTTCAGTAGTCATGTATGGCTGCGAGAGTTGGACTATAAGGAAGGCCGAGTGCCGAAGAATAGATTCTTTTGAACTATGGTGCTGGAGAAGACTCTTGAGAGTCCCTTGGACTGCAAGAAGATCAAATCAGTCAATCCTAAAAGAAATCAACCCTGACTGTTCCCTGGAAGGCCAGATAATGAAACTGAAGCTCAAATACTTTGGCCACCAAATGAGAAGGGATTGAAGGTCAAAGAAGACGGGGACTGCAAAGGATGAGATGGTTAGACAGTGTCATAGATGCAACGAACATGAAGTTGAGCAAACTTCAGAGGACGGCGGAAGACCGGAAGGCCTAGCATGATCTGGTCCATGGGGTCGCGAAGAGTCGGACTCGACTGTGCGACTGAACAACAACAACAACAATCCAACACTAGTCAGTACAGTCATTTATTTATTTTTCCCCCCCTCAAATTTATAATACTGAAATGTATCACTGACAGGTAAACCTTAGGTAAATCTGCCAAAGGGGAAGGTCCCTAACTTTTACCACTGATATTAAATATAGAAAAAGAAAACCCACCATGTTTATAGTAACACAGATGACTCAAACAAAGAAACAAACAAACCTGCGACAGAAACTTCTACCCCATGGTAAGCCAGTCATCTGTATTGCTTTCAAGTTACACAGCGCTCCATTTTCAGGTTTTTCTAGTACAGGCCTTTAAGAAGTGACAGCGTAGGAGCTAAACTATGTATTACATTGAAAAGCAGCCATGGTGGAGTCTAATTAATATTGGTGCTGGGGCATAGGGAGTTAACACTTCCTCTTTGTATCACTGCTCTGAGAGAATCCCCCCCCCCAATGCTATTATTAGCTCTAGTAGGGGAAAAGAGAGGTACAATTTGGGATTGGTGAACAGTAGAACAAAACAGCTAAGGGCCTTAGTACTTACTGGATTTTCTTAGTGAAGTTCTTGGAGACTATTCCTCCTTCTTCTTGTTGCTCTTCGTGTTTACCTGCCAAGATTAGAGTGGTGGGGAAGAAACCATTCAGCAAATCCAGAGAGGACAAATTTCCAACAGTACTTCTCACCAAAAAGCTATTCTTCATCTTTCCTTATGTCAGCTAGGGTTGCCAACTCCGGGTTCAGAAATACCCAGAGATTTGAGGGTGGAGCCTGGGAGAGTGGAATTAAGGGAAGGGAGGGACCTTAGGCCATGCAGTCCACCTTCCAAAGCGACCATTTTCTCTAGGAGAAGTGGAATAAATGTTTTAAATAAATAAATGAGAGATTTATGCACTCTGGAGATCAGCTGTAAATCCAGGAGATCTCCAGCCCCCACCAGGAGGTTGGCAACCCTAATTGTCAGCTCCTTCCTTCCTTCCTTTCTTCCTTCCTTCCTTCCTTCCTTCCTTCCTTCCTTCCTTCCTTCCTTCCTTCCTTCCTTCCTCCAGACCCTCTGTCTAGTAGATTATATGTAGCAATCACATTTTTAAAAAATTCTACTCTTGCTCCAAGGAACTCAGGACAGCGTTCATAGCTCTTCTTTCCTCCTTTTAATCCTCCCAATTTCCCAACAACCTTGTGAGGCAGGTTAGGTTGACAGGCATGACTGCCTCAAGGTGACTTTAGTAAATTTGAGTGCGGATTTGAACCCAGGTTTACATCCTCCTCCTCCAGCACTCTAACCACTGTATGACCCTGGCTCTCTGTTGCCCACTTGAACTCCACTGGCTCTTTACCTTTAGCAACCTCTTAAATTAACTTCCAGCTTCAATAAGAACCATCATGTTTTATTTTTGCTCACTGCCTTGCACAGGATCGATGTGTCTCATTTAATGTTGGAGAGATATTTACCCTTCTGTTGCCTCTCATATTCACAGAGGAAGAATGTCATTTCCACCCTCTTTTGTTCCAGCAACTTGGTACACTTAAAAACCTGTTCTGCATCCAATGCCATTTAAATTAGTCTAATTTAGTCTGCAGTACATCTTGTTTTCCACATCAAGATTACAAGTGCAGGTTGTTGTGTTTTGAATACGCGAAGCCACCATTGGTTTATCAAGGTCAATATTGCATACTGTGACATTCCAGAATCTAGGGTAAAAGTCTTTCACATCACCAGAGTCTTTTAACTGGCAGATTCCAGGCACTGAACCAGAGACTTTGGGCAAGCTAACTGCTCTACTACTGAGCCACTGCCATGCTTAGAAACAATATATTTCCCCTCCTCCTGCTTTTTTGACTTTCCCCCATTAGTGAACATCTAGCCTGAAGAAGAGTTCTAGAGAAGTCAAAGCTTGCACTGTTCATTGAGATGCACACCATTTTGTGATGTTTTGGTTGCCTAATAGAAGATATTGCGTGATTTTTGCTTTTGCAATTTGTCTGCAAACCAACACAACTACCTGCAACCTGTGCTTGCATATAGCTCACTCAGGGCAGGCCTATACAATATGTAGTTCTGCAATCCTTTTTCCAAGAGGGTGTGTTTTTAAAAAACTGATTGCAGGCAGGAATCTGGAAAGGGGGGAATCAAGAGTCTCTCCCCGCCAAGCTCCCCCCCCAAACTCTGTCTTTCCCAGGCTCCGCCCCCAAATCACCAGAAATTTCCCAAGCCTGGTTGGTGACCCTAGCTCTGATCAACAAAACTCTCCAGATTCAGTTTAGATTTCACCTCAAGCCAAGTTAGGGTTGCCAAGTCGAAAAATCTCCTTACCGGGGGACTCCGGTTTTCCCTTGGATGACCGTGGCCCCGCCCCCAGCGTGCCCGGCGTCGTCACGTCACTTCCGGGTGACACGCACGTCGGGGTGGGGTTCCCCCCGGGGGGGACTTGGGAAGCCTAAGCCAAGTGCTGGGAGCAACTCCCTGTTATGCCCTCCCTGTGTGCGGCCTTTGCTTAACAAACCGAGCCGTCTGGAACAGCTGCAGCCTGAAGCAGCTCCATAAACACTCAGACAAGCTATGTAGAGTGGCATTTTCGGGCAAGACCAGGCCCACAGCCGACCCTCACGGCAGATTGACTGGCTCTGTGTTTTGTTCCTTGCCAATTTCAGAGTGCTCCAGCAAACAGTAAAAGGGCTGGGAGAGTGTGGACACTGCCCAGATATGGCTCTGGAGGAACAGCTGAGGAAATGCCAGTCAGTCTGCAATGCATGAAGCACTCACATTAACTTTGAAGCAAAGGCCTCCCATCTGTTCTAGGGCAGATGAGCCTCTTGTCACAAACTACCTCCAGATCCCGTGCCTGGGGAAGTTTGGGCCTAGGGTTGCCAGCTCTGACTGGGGAAATACCTGGAGATTTGGGGGGTGATGCCTGGGGAGGGCAGGGTTTGGGGAGGGACCTCAGCAGGGAACAATGCCATAGAATCAAGCTTCCAAAGCAGCTGTTTTCTCTCCAGGGGAACTGGTTTCTGTCGTCTTGAGATCAATTGTAATAGCAGGAGATCGTCAGGCCCCACCTGGAGGCTGGCAACTCTAGGCCCTCAGCAAAACATCACCACAGTGGCCTGAGGCAGTCAGGGTTGCTGCGAGTCACCATATCTGAGCCTCGCCTCATATTCAGAAACACACACACAAGATGCTAGATTGGAACAGGGACACTGCTGCTATCCCCCCCCCCCATGCAACACTTCGTCTGGGTCCCTAGGATAAACTGGGAAACCAGAATTTTGTACCCACAGTTGGCAGCCCTAATGGAATTTTTATGTGTCTGGATCCCCTAGATGTTGTTTTGGTTCTAGAAACAGCTGTGGGAGGGGAACCTATGCACCCGGGCTATGGTACACCGCTGTTTCCTTATTTGAGAATAGTCTGTATGGACTGCTTTGGTAGGGGGGAAAAGGTACCTTCATTGGGTCTGAGTGTGGCTGGGAGAGGAGAAGACTTAACCACCCCCCATCCCCCATAGGTGATCTACAGGGTTACAGTGTTGACAGGGAGTCATCACCAGCGATGGTCACCCAACTAAAAAAACCACCCTGACCCAGCTGTTCTTCCTGCTGGTATGCATGAACGTGATGTTACAGCATGCACTGTGCACCGAGGCATGGAGCTTGGGAGTGGCTGCATTGATACTATGGTCTGATCTGTAGGGCCCAGGCTAGCCCGATCTTATCGTATATCAGAAGCTAAACAGGGTTGGCCTTGCTTAGTATTTGGACTGGAGACCCACCAAGGAATTCCAGGTCTGCTATGCAGAGGCAGGCAAACCACCTGTTTCCTCTCCTGACTTGGAAAACCCCACGAGGTTGCCATAAGTCAGCTGCAACTTGACAGCTCATTCCACCACCACCACATAAGTGCATCGGGGATCACAGAATTGCCCAGCGCCATTTTACAGGGTGGACTCCCTGTGGACTTCAAGGCTAACTCAACAGTTCAGAGCTGAGCCCAATCCTCTTCAAGTGAATGATGGCCTGCTCACTCCAGATTGCCTTTTACATAGAGAGGAACTTGCGGGGCCACTGCTAGGCTCATCAGGCAAACTGAGGGGGACAACAGACTTCACAAAACTTAATCTTCCACCCAACTTAATCTGGGTAGGTGAGGAAGCTCTCACACACAACCCCTCCCCAACTATATATATGCTCAGGGGAACTTGGAAGAGGAACATGGCATCAAGTCATAGCTGACTTATAGTGACCTCATAGTGTTTTCAAGGCAAGAGACATTCAGGCTTGCTATTTCCTGCCTCTGCGTAGCAACCCTGGACTTCCTTGGTGGGTCTCCCATCCAAATACTAAGCAGGTCCATCCCTATTTAGCTTCTGAGATCTGATGTGATCAAACTAGCTTGATCTATCCTGTTCCTGGCACAGGTCAGGGGCACTTATGTCAAACACTTTTAGAGTACAACAAAGTTTGAGTCCAGTGACACCCTTAAGACCAACACATTTAGTTCTGGGTATAAGCTTTTGTGTGCATGCTTCAGATGCATGCACACAAAAATGTGTACCCAGAATTAAACTTTGTTGGTCTTAAAGGTGCCACTTGACTCAAACTTTGTTCTATTGCTTCAGACCAACATGGCTACCTACCCGAATCTATTTTTAGGGTAGAGTTTGTCGTCGTCCCCCAGCTGCTTTGGCCCAGGTGAACAAAAAATCTAGGTGCTTGTATTGCCCCCACCCTTGCCAACAGCGGCTTGGAGGATGGTGGTTTTTAGCAGGACAACAGGAGTAAAGGCTGAGGGCTAAATAACCCGTCTTGCGTCTGCTGACTTCTAATCACAGCCCAGTAGCTGCATTCTATTAATCAGAGCAAGTGTTGGTTAAAAGGATCATGGAACTACACAGAGTGTAATTTTGACCTTAAATCCTAAAATGGATATCAACCCTGTGTTTAGTTTAAATCAGGCAATCAATTTTAGTGTCATCGTGTCGGATGGACTGCTTTTAGCTGGTTCAGGCATGCATGTTCATCCCAGGATAAGTGCAATGTTAATCAATGCCTTACACATGACAGAAGAAGAAGGAGGATGAGGAGGAGGAGATTGGATTTATACCCTGCCCTTCACTACCTGGAGTCTCAGAGTGGCTTACAGTTTCCTTTCCCTTCCCCTCCCCACAACAGACACTCTGTGAGGTAGGTAGGCAGTCAAATAGAACATATCCCTCTCCTATCATATTAGGACTTGGGGGCACCTAATGGAATGGATGAGTACTAGATTCAAGGCAGACAAAAGGCAGTCCTCATTTCCTCAATGAGTAATTGAATTGTGGGATTCCCTGCCAGTGGATGTTGTGATGGTTATGAACACAGATGGTTATCAAAGTGACTACTACTAGCCATGATGACTAAGGGGAATGCCTACATCCAGAGGTAGCAAAGCTCAAAATGCTAGTGCTTGTAGGCAATGTTAGGGGAAGACCTTGGCCTCTACATCATGTTTTGGTCCTCCAGAGTAACTGGTTGTCCACTGAGTAAAATAGGATGCCAGACTCAATGGACCACTGGTTTGATCTAACAGGGCTTTTCCCCCTATGTTTTTGTTGATCTTTAAGGTGCTGGACTCATATCTTGCTCTCCTGGAGGAAGTGGCCACTTTGGCAAGCAGACTCTATGGTATACCATATTCTAAATGAAATCCCTCCCCAAATTTCCTGCTCCATAGGCACCCCCCCAATTCTTCAGGAATTTCTCAGATCGAAGTTGACCAGCCGAACTCATACATTTGGCTGCCAGTGAGAAATCAAATAATGTACATGTACATGTCAACTGGTCCTTAACAGATTTACTATTTTGTGGAACAGGTGGGGAATTTCAGTGGCTCCCCCCCACATTTCACATATCGGGGGACCTTTTAATTGCCTTTAAATGGTTCTAATGTCATCTGTTTTGAAATCCCTGTCTCCAATCCCTTCTCCCTTTGTCTCCCTGGCCTACTCTCTTTGGGCTTTTTAAAATGTTGTCAGGTACATGAAATTTAATCAAAGATACAAAGCTGGGTTGGCACCAGTGCTGCTTGTTCATCTCATTCCAAAGCCTGGGGGAGAGGCAGATCAAAGGAAAACCCGCTTTTCAGAACTGCAAATCAGACAGCTTGTAAGAAACAGGGAGGGAAGCGCTGCAACTTGACAACTTCCCTGATGATGTAACATCTGGAAGTTAATTAAAACCAAACCAAACCAAACCAAACCAAAAGGACAATTGCTCCATTTTATAGATGGGGAACAAAGGCTGAGACATGTCTTGAAGCATGAAAAACAGGGGTAGGAACGGCAAAATTCTGGATTGAGGACTGTCCAAGTGTGGCCCAAAGAGGATGTTTTCTGTGCCACCCCACAGCCAGTCCTCCTTTCCCCTGCCGTAGGATGAAACTGGAATCCAAATTGTTACAGCAGGCTAGGGCTGGGTGTGCATGAGGGCAACTGCTAAGAGGCACAGCTGCACTTGGTGCCACTAACCTTGGAATGTTGCAGCAAGATCTCTGGGTTGCAATCTGGCAACTCTCTGGCCAGCTCTTCCAGATCTACTATATACTTTATAGATCATGATCAATGTTCCCTCTAAGCTGTGGAGTCTTGTGAGCAAAAATTCTACTTTGTGAGCAACTGGCATTAAAGTTGTGAGCGAGCGATTTGGCTGCTGCATAAATTCGTTCGCTCTGGCTCCCTCCTTCCTGAGCGAAGACAAAAATGTGTGAGCTGGAGGCTAACAGACTGTGAGCTAGCTCACACTAACTCAGCTTAGAGGGAACACTGATCATGATAGCCCTAAATCTATGGGGAAAGCATGAGTGCAAATGCACTACTATTTTTTCTTTCTTTCTTGAATGGTCTGTCGCCCAGAAGTCAACCCAAATTGTTTTTTCCCAGCATGAAGATGTTGTGTGAGAACCTGATGTGGACCTTGCTGCCTGCTAGGAAACCAAGACAGAGGATGTCTGTCCTTACAAAATTTTGTGTGCCTTACAAAAAGGTGGCAATCCAATTTAAAAATGCACATGTCCATTTAAAGAATGGCTTTCTTTTGGGAAATAGACAGGAGGAGGGTCTGATGCTTTCCTAATGGCCACTACTCTCCATTTGGCCAAAGAAAAGCAGTGATCCATGTGTGTTAAGCCATTTGCAATGGATAGGTAAAGGTAAAGGTTCCCTGGCTCGAAAGCCAGTCGAGTCCGACTCTAGGGTTGCAGTGCTCATTTCCGTTTCAAAGCCGAAGAGCCAGCGCTGTCCGAAGACGTTTCCGTGGTCATGTGGCCGGCATGACTAAACACCAAGGTGCACGGAACGCTGTTACCTTCCCACCGAAGTGGTACCTATTTATCTACTTGCAATTTCTTGCTTTCAAACTGCTAGGTTGGCAGGAGCTGGAACTAGAGACGGGAGCTCACTCCATCATGCGGCACCCGGGTCTCGAACTGCTGAACTACTGACCTTCCACAGCCTGCAGTTCAGCGTCTTAACCACTTGAGCCACCGCAGCTCCTTTGCAATGGATACCTTGCATGTATTTTGTACCTTTTGTAAATATCAGCATCTGATTATAAAACTAAGCTTCAGCTTTCCACATGGGAGCAATTCCCCATTGTCCTCTCATTGCTGCTGCAAACATAGAGGAATTCACAGCACCAGTGGAGACTCCAGTGGAGACTTCAGTGGACTCTACACACGGGAGAATCTCCATATTTTCCTCTTGCGCCTTCCATTTGCTCCCCTTGCCACCACAGTGCTTTTTCTGCAATTGTTTTTTTTTTACAAAAAGCAGTAGTCGGTTTATTGGTATAGTGTAAAGACACTACAGATTTAATTTTTTTGAAAAGCAAAAAGTCTGACGGAGGGTAAGTGAGTCACACCAAATGTGAACTTGGAATTGTGGAAATGCATACCTTCTGATCTACATGGATCCCAAACCCACTTAGGGTATGATCTTTCAGGGAAGATCTGAACCCAAGCAGGTTTGGGAAAACCCTCAGAGGAGCCAGCACGATCTACAACTGCACAACAGTGTTGCATGGAAGCACCTCAAAACCCAGTATAGTTTGAGGGTGGGCAATGTGGAGCAAAACATCCGTGTGGGAGCAACCCAGGTGCTCCACCCTTTAAAGACTGGCCCTCCTGTTCCAGGAGGTCTTTCAGTATTCCTCGCTGTGTACACAGCCATTGGTGGCTCAGTTCAGACAATCCAGCAGTACAGAGAATCTGACCAACCCACAGCCATGTGACTCCCTCTTCCTCCTCCCTTCCCTCTCATGCGCTGCATCCTTCTCAATTTCCCATTTAGCACACATCAAACTTTGTATAACATCTGAATTTGCCAATACTAGAAGAAGAAGGAGACGAAGAGGTTGGATTTATACCCCGCCCTTCACTACCCAAAGGTGTCTCAGAGCGGCTTACAAACTCCTTTCCCTTCCCCTCCCCACAACAGACACCCTGTGAGGTAGGTGGGGCTGAGAGAGCTCTTCACAGAAACTGCTCTTTTTCAAGAACAGCTCTTATCAGAACTACGGCTTGCCTAAGGTCATCCAGCCAGGTGCAAGTGGAGGAGTGGGGAATCAAACCCGGTTCTCCCAGATTAGAGTCCGCGCACTTAACCACTACACCAAACTGGCTCTCTAGGTGGCATTTGTTTTCCAAACTAGGAACTATGGTTTTAACAGGGTTTCCAGTTCTGGGTTTGGAAGGCAAGCAACCTTTTTCATTAATTTACTTCATTTATATATCACTTTTCTTCCCAATGGGGACCCAAAGTGGCTTACAACATTCTTCCCTTCTCCATTTTTAATCCTCCCAGCAATCTTATGAGATAGGTTAGGATGAATGTGTGTGACTGGCCTAAGGTTACCCAGAAAACTTCCATGGCACAGTAGGGATTTGAACTGGGTCCCCGACCAGCACTCTAAGCACTACACCACACTGGCTGGCTATCCATAATTTGACAATTTGGTGTAATTGCAAACTATGATTCCCCCCCCGTCAAATCACAGCTGAATTATGGTGACCCCTGTAGGGTTTCCAAGGCAAGAGATGTTTGGAGGTGGTTTGCCATTGCCTGCCTCCATGTCACAACCCTGGTATTCCTTGGAGGGTTCCCATCCGAATACTAGCCAGTGCCAACCCCACTTAGCTTCCGAGGTCTGATGAGATCAGGCTAGTATGGGATATCTAGGTCAGGGTAAACTATGATTAGCGCTGAGGAAAAAAGGAAAGAGAATCCATGTACAAGATAAAAAAGGAACATATTTGCAGCCTGTTCAAAAGACTGTCTGAATAGAATCCCTATAAATTCCTGAGTATTTATCTATCTCTTTCTTATTGAACTAAATCAAATATAGGTCAGCACAGACCTGAGATGAACTCACAGCCAAACTTTGTGAATGCTAATGTAGTTTCCTCCCCCTTGACATTATCCACAGGAATCATTTATGGACATTGTATTTTAGAGCATATGTTCATATTTATCAAGAGCACCTCTATTTCTGGCCCACTCACTGTATGACACTTGTAATAAACAATTAAGTAGGCTTGTGCTCTAGAAGTTCACACCAAAGATACAAATCCCTTCTTCTTCTTCTTCTTCTTCTTCTTCTTCAAAGTACACTGCTTATTTGTTTATTTCTGTTTTTTTGGCAGGGCTGTCAACAGATTTTTAAGTTGATGGATCACCTGCCTTCATACTGATCAATCAACTAATTTAATTTAATTTAAATGTTATTAAAAAAGCAACATGGTTTGGATACTGAGTGAAACCTAAAATAATTTGTGGATGAATCATCAAAAACTACCACGTGCTTAGAAGGAAAGGCCATTTTTAAAAGACTATCCTTTCTGTTTCCAGTCACTGACCCCAAAGAACAAACACATATTTGCCCTCCAAGCCTGAACTAGAATACATAACGTGAAGGGGGTTTCCTGGTGTGACCATAATTTGCCAATTAATAATTTCCCAGCCTATAATTTAGGACCAAAATTACTACTTATCTGGGGAATCTGTGGTTTAATTTAGCCACAAAAAGCAACTGCCCACGTGTGTGTGTCTGTGTGTGTATGTGTGAGTGAATAGGGGCTATAGTACTGGGGAGATGGGGTTCTCCCTCTATGTTGCCACAGGCAAAAATGCCCCCAAGTTGCTTATTGCTCCAGTAGGGAAAAGCTATAGGCGCCCATATTTAGCTAATCAATTTACCAGTGTAAGATAGTGTAGCAGGGAGACATGGTGAAATGGGGATACATGGGTTCCAGCCTTCACTAAGTGACAAAACACACCATGTGACCTTATGCCAGTCATTCTTCTACAGGATAACCTATCTCACAGAACTGTTGTGAGGACTGGGGGATGGGGGGGGGAAGTTGCCCTGAGTTCCTTTGTGGGACAAGCATGCATAGAATAAAAAACACCAATTAAACTTTGCTGCCGATTTTTAAAAAATGTAACAACAAAAACACTTCATGTGACTTACGCCTACCACCCAGTAGTTAAACTGGCACCCTGGCTTTATTACCCTTTACTCACCTGATACTTCCACATAGCCATCTTTGGTTTTCACTGTCAGCTCCTCAGGTTTGAAGCTTTGCACATTGACACACACTTTCCATGGCTCTCCGGACAAGGACGAAGGGCTTCCCCCAAAGGGAGCCCCTTCTGTGTAACCCCCAAACCTGGAACCGTATCCTGGCGGAGAAAGGCCAGTGCTGCGGACCATCCCTGACCTCAGTGGGCCTGGCCATGCCGTTGTCAGCCGTGGGCGAGCCCAGTCAGGCCAGTCTGCAGTTAGATCTCCGGAAAAGGGCGACATTCCAAAGTCATCGTCCAACAGTCGAGAAGACAAGCTGGATTCTCTGAATGGGTCTCGAAGGCTTCGGTGCCGCCCGGGATAATGGCAGGAAAAAGGCATCTGGCTGTCAGCCATGATGATTCTCTCTTTGTCAGAATCCACAGAAAGGGGGGAAATCTAAAAAAGAAAAAAAAATCCAACAGAGCTGTTCTTAATTGCCCTTGAAAGTTTTCAAGCAGTCCTTTCTAGTCCTGGACACAGCAGTGGCACTCGAGTGATGCTCAACCCACAAAGTGCTTCAGCAGCTGTCAGAAAGGTGGGGAGGAAATTAAATTTCAGCTTCAGGATCCGGTTTCAATCTTCACAACCTGCTTATCCCCCCCGCCTTCCAACCCTGCTACACGAAAAAAAAAAAACTGAAATAATGAAGCACGGCTTCAAAGTTCAATCTTGCACAAACTAGGCAAAGGTCTTGTTTGCTTGAATTCCAGAGTGGAAGGGGGAAAAAAAAAACACTGTTCGGGTAATGGATTAAAAGAAATTCACCTTTTTGTTCCACTTGGGCAAAAGCCTCTTCGCCTGATCCCAAAGGGGAACTTAAATACAGTGTTCTGGCAGGAGACGAGAAACTTCTCTAAAGTTCCAAATGACTGTCTGCCCTTTTTATACACGCTTAGTGCCTGGGGGGGTGTTGCAATTCCTGCCCTGCAAGCTGTATTTTTGGAGAGGATGAAACACCCCTGGAGAATCTGAGCTGCAACAGCTGACCTCATCCCAATGGGGCAAGCATACCGAAATGGAGATCCAAGTTTAGGCAGCCTGTCTCATATGTCCCACCCTTTCTCTCCCTCCCCTTCTTTTGCCACTGTAATATATACTGCAAGTCAAGTATGCTATTATTAGCTTTGAGTGTCAGGCCTGCCTCCCTGTGCATGCCTCTGAAGATTGACTCCTGGGACTCTGGTTTATGGCAGGAGCTTTTGTTTAGAAGAGTCCCCTCCCCCAGTTTTTCACTGGCTTTGCTCCTGTACCTTTAAACATGCAGAAATTAAACCAGGAAAAATTCCTCTTCCTTGCCTCTCCCCGTATCTCCATTCCAGTAAAACTTCTACCTTAGTTTATGCCTATCAGCTGACAGCGTAACTAGGGAGATAAGAACCTAAGAAGAGCCCTGCGGCATATAATCCAGAATATAGCTAGAAGCTCCCAGGAAGTCCACAAGGAAGGCTAAAAGCCCTCCCCCACTGTCCTCGGTTACTGTAGGGTTGCCAACCTCCAGATGGGGCCTGGAGACCTCCAGGAATTATAACTGGGGTCCAGACTACAGAGGCCCCGGTCACATGGGCCAGATATCGTGGGGGGGAGGTGTGGCTGTTTGCCCCGGGGCTAAATAACACATGGTTGCGCGATCAAACCTCCCGTGGAGGTTCAGTGGAGGTCCCGTGGAGGTCCCGTGGGTAGGGGGAGGTGCCAATCATAGGACAATCCTGCAGCGCGGCAAAGAAGCGGCGCGGTGAGGCAAACGGGTTTGGGGTTTTTTGTACACCAAAGTATGCGCATGCTCCGTTGGGTGCTTGTGCGCATCCATGGAGACTTGGAACCCCCCCCCCGTTTTTGCAAGGGGACATGGGCGGGCGCCGGATGCCACCGGAAACACGATCAGACGCCCGCCCTTGCCCCGCGGTTACCGGAAACTAGTACCTCGGAGGTACTAGTTTTTTACCCTGCATCTTCGGCAGGAAGCCTCGGGTGAGCCACGGGAGCTCTACACTTCCCAGATGTGGCGGTGAGATCGTGCCCGGAAAATCCGCCTATCTTCCGGCTCTGTAGCGTGGCAAATGTTCTGTGTGACCGCAGCCAGAGATGAGTTTTCTGGAGATAATGGCTGCTCTGGAAGGTGGACTCTATGGAATTACACCCTGTCGAGGTCCTTACGTTTCCTAAACTCCATTCTCCCTAGGCTCCGCCCCCAAATCCCCAGAAATTTCCCAACTGGGATTTGACAACCCTACTATCTGGCAAACAGAAAACAGCATAACAAGGAGGAACATTCTGCTACTCCCTTTCTTGGCTTGCCATACAGGATTTCTGTTTGCAGGGAGTAACTTTTTAATGTAGGTCAGTGTTCTGCAGCAATGAAGACCATTCTGCGATCACGTTCCCCTCCATGTGTGGACAAGGCTGGCACCCCTGCATTAAATGCTATGAGGCTTGGGAGTTCTGTATTTAGCTCCTGACATGGAACGCTGTCCCTAACAGATAAAAGGAAAAACCAAAATGCCATGATACAATAATTAGGCTTAACAAGCTGCAGTGGTTTGGCAACCCCCAGAGGGTGCTGGCTCCAGCACACCCAATGTTTGCAGGCTGGCATTTGACTTGCCCAACATCCCATGCGAGATTGAGATAATTATTGTTTGCAGCAAATTAGTCAACTCCACTCCTAGTTAAGGCCTGAAGATACAGCTTCAGATATGTCAAACCCACCATCTCTGCAGTTACACGCCTTGTCAATCTGGTGTGACACAGTGGCTGAGAAGAGCTTGAACTGTAAACGGTGACAAATTAAGGACAAAGAGGTCCATGCTAGCTATGAGAGCTACATAGAACCTCCTGGTTCCAATGCAGTGTATCTTTGAATACCATGGTCTGGGGGTAAACAAGAATGGAGGCCTGTTGCCTTCAAGCCATTCTTGTGAGCTTCACAGAAACATTTGGCTTGTCACTACTGGAAGGAGGATGCTGGACTAGGTAGAATTTTGGAACCGCTGAATACCAGGTACTGGGAATGACCAAAGGGAAGGTCTGTTGCTTTCATACATTGGGGTGCTGAACTAAATGATCCTTTGTCTGACCTAGCAGGGATCTTCTTTACACAAGAGCCAACAAGCACCTTAAAGACTTAAAACGTATTTCAATTTCAGATTTCATGAGTCAGAACTTACTTCTTCAGATGCATAAGCGTCTACATCCAGTTAGGCCTTATTCTATATACAGTGGGGTGTGTGTACTGTGTTATAAAGAGAGGCTGGGTTAAAAGACGATCCAATCAAAGGAGTCATTCATATAGAGTGGGTGTGAGGCACGCCCAACTGACAATTGTGAAATAGAATACACCTCGGGGATCTTCTGTATTCCTACATGCATGGCTCAGATTTAATCGCTGCTGTGGATCCAACTTGCAGCCATGCCAGACATTCATTTAATCCATTAATGTACAGTGTGGGTGCAGGCCTGATTTTAACATTGAAAGGGGCATGCAGGTGAGAAGAGTGGAATCCTTCCCACCACCCCACCTTACCTCACGTAGCCTAACTCCTATACCAGAAGTCACCTAGTCTGAGAGAAACAAATCTGAGGAAATGGTGGGAGACGGTGGAGGGTTCAACTCATGCCATTTATACTTGTAGTGGTTAGGGGTGTGGACTCTAATCTGGGAGAACTGGGTTTGATTCCCCACGCCTTCACATGCAGCTGCTCATGTGACCTTGGGTCCATCACAAGTTCTCTCAAAGCTGTTCTCTCAAGAGCAGTTCTTAAAAGAGGTTGCTCAGCCCACCTACCTCACAGGGTGTATGTTGTGGGGAGGGGAAGGGAAGGACATTGGAAGCCACTCTGAGACTCCAAGTGAAGGGCGGGGTATAAACCTAATCCCTTCTTCTAAAATCAGAACCCAGGTCAGTCCTCTGCTTCATGCATGAATGGGGCAAATACCACATCCAACAGCAGCAGCAGTTGCCACCACCATCATGTTTAGTCTGACACACTGTAACCTTAGGAAAGTGGTTGTTTTTGGCACATCCGTTCCCCTCATCTGCAGTACGGGCATAATAATATTGACCTACTTTGTGAGATTATTATTATAACATTTACTGAGGCAATGTAAAAGACACCTTTTGAATACTCAAGAGTGCTACAATCCATTCTGAATTGTTATAGACCCTATAGGAAAAATTCCAGTAGAGTGGCTGTGTCACCACCTACAAAAGTGTCTTTTCCTGCCTTTAAGATTAGATGTGTTAATCCCCTTTGTATCCTGCCTTTCCTCTAAGGACTTTACATAGGGCTCTTCCCCCACCCCGTTTTTATCTTCACAGTAACCCTGAGGTAGATTAGGTTGAGCAATAACAAACAGCCCAAGGCCACCGGGTGATCTTCATGGCTGAAGAGAGGCTTGAAGCCAGGTCTGCCTGGTCCAAGTTTAGCACTTGATCGACCACAGTCCACCGGATCTGTGGGCCAAGTCTCACATTACTGTCTTTATATCTGCCTTAGATTGTTCCATGTGTACCTAGTGCTGTTACACTGACAGACTTTTAGATCTCTCACTATTGGTTTTAGCTGGGTATTACAGCTGGTAGTTCTGTTGTGGCTATTCTAAAACGGATGTCTCTGTTTCTGTTTATTGCTCTGTGTGCGTTACACTTCAATCAGGGGAAAAGGAAGAATGTGTAGAAACTGTTGTTGTTGTTTTCTCTGAAGAACACACTGAAACACTTTCAAAATCAAAAATTTCTTGGGGTTTCCGATCTCCAGGTGATTGATGGAGATTTCCTGAATTACAACTGGTTTCCAGGCAAAAGAGATCAGTTCCTCTGGAGAAAATGGCTACTTTGGAAGGTGGACTCCATGGCATTATATCCTGCTAATGTCTCTCCCCTTCCCAACCCCCAAGGCTCCACTCCCCAAATCTCCAGTAATTTCACAATTCAGAGCTGGCAACCCTAAGACGTTTGCCAACTGCCGTCACTATTACCCAGAATGCCATACGGGTCAGTCTTAAAGCGGAAGTTGGCATACAGACAATCAAACATAAACCTTGGGTCAACTATTACTCTCTGTCACATGTGCCTGTTGGAAGTAGGGCTGCCAAGTCCCCCCGGGGGGCGGAAATCCCTCCGCCCCACCTTTGCGTACGACACCCCACCCAGTGACTCCGAGGCGGGCGGGCCAGGGGCCCCCCTGGAAGGATCGAGGAGGCATTTAAATGCCTCCCCGTGCCTTCCCTGGCCTGTCCAAGGGATGGCTTGCCCAGGCTCCCCGCAGCCGTGGGGTGCCCAGGCAAGCCAAGGGAAGGCAGTTTAAACTGCCTTTCCTTCCCTTCAAGGGGGGGGCTTTCTTGGGCTCCCCGCAGCCGCAGGGCGCCCAGGCAAGCCAAGGGAAGGCATGGGTGTGGC